ATACCATCCTAAAACTTCAAGCCCTCATAGTTTCTCCCCACTCAGATTTTCCACATTATACTTGCTTTTTAGTCATATCTTAGGTCCAGTTTATTTCTCCCCATGGTTCCAAGTCCTCTCCTGTCCACTCTGCTCTCCTCTCCTCCCAGTTTAGACCAGGATGTCCCACCGTATTCTCTCCATTGCACAGCATTGGTCAGAAGCATAAATTTTCAATTCCAGCACTGGGTAAGTGGAGACAGATAGGTTGCTTGCTGGTGGGCCAGTGTAGCTAAATCAGTGAATTCCAGGCAAAGTGAAACACACTTTGTTTCAAAAACTAGGATGGAGGGGCTAGAGATTGTTAGAGCAATTGCTGCTCTTGCAGAGGACCTTAAGACAACTCACTCTAAATTTATTTCCAGGATATTCAACATCTTGTGGCCTCTGAGGGCACCAGATCCACAGGGTTATACACATACACATGCTGTGATTATTCATGCACTGAAAATGAAAAGATATCTGTAAAGAAAAATAAAGTGAAGAATAATTGATGAAGCTGCACGATACTCCTCTGTGCTGCACCTCCCACATGTGCACAAACATGAACACATTACACATACAGGGAGAGACTGAGGAGAGTCAGAGGGAAAAGCAACATCTCAACATGTCATATTGATAACAAGTATATGGCATAATTATGTGGAGAAATAATTACGTGGAGAAAGCTTTTGCCAGAAACAATATAAACTAGAAAACAATACAATGGTGACTTCAGAGTATTAAAAGAAAAAGCCAAGCTATAATTTATAAAAATTTTCTATGAATAACTTTCTTTGAAAGTTACTCACAGATGTGTCCTACAAAAAGTGTTGAAGTGTGGTGGGAATAAGAAAGATGACCCCGGGTGAAATAGAAAATTTTAATTTGTAATAAGAGAAACAGGTATCAGCAATGGTAAATATATAGCTCACACCCACAAACACACACACACACGCACACCAAAGTATATGATGTTTGGGATGAATTACATAATGACAGGAGTACAGAAATAAATGAATATTTGTTTTTTTAGTATCTGTAAACTTACATGAGTAAATTGTTGATTATATATGGAGGGTATAAAGTGCTAAAAATGAAACATTATTGTGGTAATTTCATGAATAATTGTGGTAGTAATGAATTCTGTAGAAAATATTTGGGTAGGTGTTTCTAGTTTTTTTAAATTTTATTTTAGAATTTGTATAGATCAGAGTGTGAAATTAGTCAGATTTTGTAGTATCCAATTCATTGTTGCATGATGATGATAGGCAATGTTAAATATTACTGTTTTGATAAGTTATTAGAACATACTGTTTTTGTTCTTTTTTTATTAATTATAATTTATTCACTTTGTATCCCAGCTGTAGCCCTTTCCTTCCCCCTCCAATCCCTTCCTTTCCTCTTCTCCTCCCTTGCTCCTCCCCCAGTCCACTGATAGGGGCAGTCCTCCTCTGTTTCTATTAGACCCTAGCCTATCAGGTCTTAACCAGGACTGGCTACATTGTCTTCCTCTGTGGTCTGAAAATGCTGACAGCTCCCTCAGGAGGAGGTGATCAAAGAGCCAGTCACTGAGTTCATGTCAGAGACAGCTCCTGTTCCCATTTCTAGGGAACCCACTTGGAGACTGAGCTGCCATGGGCTGCATCTTTGCAGGGATACTAGGTTTTCTCCATGAATGGTCCTTGGTTGCAGTTTCAGTCTCAGAAAAGACCCCTGTGCCCAGATTTTTTGGTTCTGTTGCTCTTCTTGTGGAGCTCCTGTCTCCTCTAGGTCTTTCATCTCCCCCTTCGTTCATAAGATTCCCTGCACTCTTCCCAAAGTTTGGCTATGACTCTCAGCCTCTGCTTCAATACCCTGCTGGATAGAGTCTTTCAGAGGCCCTATATGGTAGGCTTCTGTCCTGTTCCCTGTTTTCTCCCTCTTCTGATGTCCATACCACTTTTCCTTTCTGAATAAGAATTTCGCATCTTACCTAGGGTCCTTCTTCTTGCTTAGCTTCTTTAGGTGTGTAGATTTTATTATGTTTATCCTATATTTCTAATGTACACTTATAAGTGTGTATATACCATATGTGTCTTTCTGCTTTTGCGATACCTCACTCAGGTTAATCTTTTCTTATTCTTACCACTTGCCTGCAAATTTCATGATTTTCTTGTTTTTAATTACTGAGTAGTAGTCCATTGTGTAAGTGCACCACAATTTCTGTATCCATTCGTCAGTTGAGGGACATCGGGTTGTTTTTTATATTGTGGCTATTATGAATAAAGCTGCTACAAACATATTTGAGCAAATGTCCTTGTTGTATACTTGAGCATCTTTTGGATATATGCCTAGGAGTGCTATAGCTGGATTTTGAGGAAGCACTATTCCTAATTTTCTGAGAAAGTGCCAGATTGATTTCCAAAGTGGTTGTACAAGTTTACATTTCCAACAGCAATGGAGGAAGGTTGCCCTTTCTCCACATCCTCTCTAGCATGTGTTGTCACTTGAGTTTTTGATCTTAGGCATTCTGATGGGTGTTAGGTGAAATCTCAGGGTCCTTTTGCATTTCCCTGATGACTAAGGATGTTGAACATTTCTTTAAATATTTCTCTGCCATTCGATATTCCTCTATTGAGAATTCTCTGTTTAGCTCTGTACCCATTTTACAATTGGATTACTTGATTTGTTGCTTTTTAACTTCTTGAATTTTTATATGGGGTAGGTGAAGATACCAGTGTGCAGGTTGATGTTTTATTCTGATGACAGTGTCCTTTTCTTTACAGAAGATTTTCAGTTTCATAAGGTCCCATTTATTGATTGTTGTTCTTAGAGCCTATGGTTTTTGGTGTTTTGTTCAGAAAATTGTCTCTTGTGCCAGTTGGTTCAAGGCTCTTCCCTGCCTTTTCCTCTAACAGATTTAGTGTGTCTGGTTTTATGTTGTGGTCTCTCATCCACTTGGCCTTTAGTTTTGTGCAGGGTGATAAATACAGGTCTATTTGCATTTTTTTTTTTACATGTAGACATGTAAAAATGTTAAGACATTTTTGGTGATGTTAAGACAATCACCATTTGTTGAAGATGCTGTGTTTTTTCCATTGAATGGTTCTCGCTTCTTTGTCAAAAATCATGTATTCGTAGGTGTGTGGATTTATTTCAGGGTCTTCTATTGGGTGTGTGTTTCTTTTTTTCCTAGGGTTTATAGGTGTGTTGTTAAGTTGCTTTTATGAAATGTCTAAAACTTCTTTCTGGAGACATGTAGTGCTTAGCCCTACTTTTCTTTTGTCCGATAAGTTTGGGTAAGTTGTGCCTTCATTTTCATTGAATTTTAAATAGTCTCTAATTTCTTTTTTCATTTCTTACCTGACCAAACTGTCGTTGAGTAGAGAGTTGTTCTGTTTCCATGTTATGTAGGCTTTTTCATATTTCTGTTGCTGTTGATGCCTAGTTTTAGGCCGTGATTAGAACATATTGTTAATTGTCTGCAACCTATAAACTGTTAGAGGGAGTAAAATAGAACATTGTACTATTAATGGACTACTTGATTTATAAAACTTTGGCTTTATATACAATAGCATAACTGTATACGTCTGAGGTAAGGTGATTCTTATAACATGGTTAACAGCTATTTCAGCCCTTCCTTGGAAGAGAAAAAAGAAAGAACTACTGTGTCCAAAGCTGAAATATTGCCCATGATTGGTCATTGTGAGTAGATTGCATTGCTCGTGGTGATTTGTCCTTCACAGCTACTTTTCTAAGTTTGTTTCTTCAAGGTGACTTGTAGGATTTTTGTGCTTGGTGTTTCAAAAATGTTGTGTATGTAATTTCCTCACATGTTAAAATTCTAAGTATTTAAGTTTACCAAGCAGATATTGACGAATGAGAGACAATAGATTATTTTTATGCCTACAGATAAAAGAACCAATGTAAACATTGCAATAAGAAAGCTTAATTTATTTAAAATAAGAATCATTGATAGTTTATAGGAAATACATTGCTGTTTAGAATGGGGGACAAACTAACCTCAGTGAACTAAATAAAACTTCAAACCGATACCAATACTTAAACATTCTTGTGGCTGTCTTATTCTTTCCCCCTTGCTTTTGTGAATGTTATCATATTTTGTGTCATTGCCATTTGATTCAGAATTTAAGAATAATAGATTGGTTTACCAGGGTATTTAGATAACAAATAAAGAAGAAATTCTGCTCAGCTTTCAATATGGTAATTTTAAACTATAGAATGAATAATGAAGGCTACATGAAAAATACAGAATATCATAATATAAATTAATAAAGTATATATAATGGCACAAACTTAAATTTGTGTATGTACAATGAATAAAAGTGAAATGTGGCTGTAATTATTTGGGCATGCTCTCAATATTCCACATAAAAGAACCTATCATGCTGAGGATTTACTTATAGCTACTTTGAGCCCTGTATACCTCTTAGGTTGTTAGTGTTTTGCAATTCAGAATGGTTCTACGATTTGATAATAGTTGAAATAATTATAACTTATAGCCTCAAATCAGTTGAACTACTTTCTATAGTACACAATAAAATTAAGATGAAGCCAGATGAAAACAAATATTTATAAAGATGAAAAAATAGGAAATCTATCTTAGGTGTGTAGGGAGGGGATACGTAGTTTACAATGTATTAATACCTTTTGAAGAGATAGAATAATAATTTAGAACATTTAACTTGTTTGAACTTCAAATAAAAACAACATAGGATCTGTTTCATGCTTACTTGTCTATCTGCACTGACAATATTTAGTTCAGGGGAAATATTTTTGAAAAGGGAACCAAAGCGGCCAACACAAATACAAGAATCATAGGTTGAATTTTCAGAATTCATATTACCTTTAAGTATGAATTTGACTGTGGAGAAAGAAAATTAAGTAAGTCAAGATTTATTGACTGTAGAGTTTGTTTTTTAAAAAAATTGAAAATGAAATATTGAGTTACATTTATTTTTTCTCTTTTTCTGAGACAGGGTTTCTCTGTGGAACACTCCTGGCTATTCTGGAACTTGCTTTGTAAACCAGACTGGCCCCAAACTCAAACTCACAGAGATCCATGTGCCTCTGTCTCTGAAGTAATAGGATTAAAGGTGTGTGCAGTCAGCTTGAGTTACAGTTTTTATTTATAGCATTTTACTTTACAAAATGCTTACTATGTCCTTTGATGGAATTCTGAATAACTTAGTCTTTGGAAATGTTTGGTTTTTATTTTTCTAAATTTTCTTTTAAGAAATTCTAGTTGTATGTAAAAAATTAATGTACTTTAAATTTACACCAAAGTGCCAAGTAATACATATTCATGAGTTTTTAAGGTAAATATTTTGTTGCTTTGTATGGGACAATCACTAGTAGGAAAAAAAAAAAAAACCCTGATAAGATTCTTCCCAAAGGACAAGTTGATTATTTTTTAACTTGAGTATCATCAGGGAAGGATGATAACTTACTATTTACAGAATGTAATTTAGAATGATTCTCTTCCCTTGTCTATCCATTTAGTGCATTGCATTATATTGCAGCCTATGTGCTTTCCTCTGGTAAACATCAGGCCTAGGAAATGCAGGTTAAGTTTTATCACTTAAATTTAACTTTTAAAAATTGGGAAAGAACTGGCTGAAATTTATCTTCTATCAAGGGAGTATGTAATGCACATTGACGGTGATTGGAGAGAATAATTTTTAACAAATTTAGGAGTACAGACTATCCTTTTGGTATTAATTTAGCAGGATTAATATCTTTAATTAGCAATTCCTGCTAGGTCATTGCAGTTACTTAAAAGAGAAAGACATAATCATAATCTTGGCCCTCACTAATTTTAATTTATGTTCCCTAAACTTTTACCTTTACCGGTTCAGTTTAAAAACATCACCTCCTCAGCAGATCCTAGGCATATGCCAGATTCAATCTTTCCTTGTGTTCTATCTAAAGAATCTAATTTCCCATTCTGAACTTTTCCCTGATATTTATAAGTATGGATGTGGATAATTCTCACTAGGAATTAGTTTTATGCAAACAAAGTTTTTGTCTTGTTTCTTTTCACTAAGTTAGGAACTCAGCTGGTTCCCCTACATAATAGATTTCAGTACTTACTCAGTTCATATTTGAATACCTTAATGCCATCCTCAAATACAATCTTTGTGCTGGTGAAATGGCTCAGTAGGTGAAGACACTTAGTTCCAAGCCTCATAAATTGATATTAATCCCAGGGACACTCACTGTGGAAGAAGAGAATAGACTCATGTGAACAACCTGAGTTTGGGCCCTACATTCATATGATGGAAGGCTAGTATTGACTCCTTCACATTGTTCTCTGACATCTGCTTATACACCCTCCTGCATGAATATGTGTGTGGTATATACTCTCACAAAAAGTAAAAGTAATCCTGAGTGAGCTATCCCAGAAGCAGAAAGACACACATGGTATATACTCACTCCTGTAGACATATAATATAGGATAAACCTACTAAAATCTGTACACCTGAAGAAACTAAACAAAAGGGAGGACTCTTGCTAAAATACTCAATTCTTATCCAGAAAGGCAAAGAGAATGGACATCAGAAGAAGGAGAAAAGAGGGAACAAGTCAGGAGCCTGACACAGAGGACCTCTGAAAGGCTCTGCCCTGCAGACTATCTTGCAAACTATAATGCAGATACTGAGACTTATGGGCAGCCTTTGGGCAGAGTGCAGGGAATCTTATGAAAGAAATGGGAAACAGTAAGATCTGGAGAGGACAGGAACTCCACAAGGAGAGCAACAGAACCAAAAAATCTGAGCACAGGGGTCTTTCCTGAGACTGATACTCCAACCAAGGACTATGCATAAATAGAGATAACCTAAGACCCCTGCCAGATGTAGCCCATAGCAGTTCAGTATTCAAGTGGGTTCCATTGTAATAGGAACAGGGACTGTCTCTGACATGAACTGATTGGCCTGCCCTTTAATTAACTCCCCCTGAGGGGGAAGCAGCATTACCAGGCCACAGAAGAAGACAATGCAGCCACTCCTGATGAGACTTAAAAAGACTTACCCTATCAGTGGACTTGGGGAGGGGCATACATGCAGAGGGTGAAGGAAGGGAGGGATTGGGATGGGAGGAGGGATGGAACCACAGGGGGGATACAAAGTAAATAAAGTGTAATACAGAATTTAAAACAAAGTAAAAGTAATATAAGAAAAGACAAACATTCTTTTTATTGTTTTTAATTCATACTTGTAGTATTAGGTTTCGTGGTGGCATTTTCAAGATAAATGTATTTTTTCCTCTTGCCTTCTCTCTGACTTTCCCTTGTAGTTTTGTACTCGCTCCCTTCTTGTCTGCATTCATGTGGAATGTGCCCAGTAATCCCAATCCCGGTCCTTCCTCTGCTCCTGTTTTCGCCTTCATGGTCTTCCATAAAGGTATGTTTTTACTCTTACCCTACTTATATTCATCTACATAAGATTAGAAGGTAGCATCTATATCTGAGAGAGAGCAGAGATTTCTGTCTGTCAGTCTGAGTTCCCTAGCTTGTTATTATACTTTTCAGACTATTCACTTTTCCTCAGATTTCATTTTTCTCTATAGTTGAATAAAATTCCCTTGTGTACGTGTACCACATTTTTATTGTCCATTTATCTGTTGGTAGACACCTAGTTTGGTTTTATTTCTTTGTTGTTGGATAGAACAAAAATGAACACAGACATGCACATATCTGTGGAAAATCCATCCTTAATTGTTACTTTTTTCTTTAAATGATATTGTACCATATGTTCATATGTGCATACCAGCTGACATATTGATCATAACACTAAGCAGACATATAACTCATACATAATTTTTTGTTGTTGAAGAGTTTCCTATGTTCATATACCAACTATACTGGATTTATGGGAGATGTATGTTTATAAGACTGCATATGTCAGTTTTTATGGCAGGTATAGAAAAAGTAAAATAAAAATTGAATAGTCTGTGAAATGCAGAAAACAGTTATAATTTCAAAGGATCTTAACTCCTCAGATATATGTAACAATAAAGAAAAGTATGTGATTAATGTAATATTAGTTTTGGTTTGTAAGATATGGTGAAAGCTTAAGTTCTTTGCTTACTTATTTAATCATATTGTTTATTAAACTCCATATATGCATTGGGGATGGCATATATTATATATAATGACATATAATGAATGACAATTTACTTATTTAACTTATTAATTTCATAATATATGTAATTAGAATTTTCTTTTTAATTTTGAATTTTTTTAAATTTTCTTTTCTTTTTATTTAAAATAGACTTTTTTTTCTCATACATTATATCCTGATTACAGTTTATCCTCTCTCTGTTCCTCTCAGTTCCTTCCCCACTGCCCTCACATTTGGATCCAATTCCTGTCTCTCATTAGAAAAAAAAAAAGAAACAAAACGAACAACAACAGAAATGGCTTCTAGGGGGATAATAATAAAATAGAACAGCACAAAGCTAACACATTAAGTTGAACAAGACAAACAGAAGGAAAAGAGCCCAAGAAGGCACAAAAATCAGAGACCATAATTTGCACACCCAGGAAACCCTGAAAACCACTAAACTGGAACCTATTACACACACACACACACACACACACACATACACACATATACACAAATACAGCACACAGACACAGGTGCGCACCCCCCTACCCCCAGGACTTGGTGCAGACCCATGCAGGCCCTGTGCTTGCTGCTTCAGTCTCTGTGAGTTCATATGAGCTTTGATCCTGTGAATTTAGAGGGCCTAGTATTTTTGGTGTCCTCTATTCTGTCTTGATCTTACACTGTTTCTGCCTTCTCTTTCATGGTGTTGCCTATGCCCTGAGGGAAGATGTTGATAAAGACATCTCATTTAAGGAAGAATGTTCCAAGGTCTCTCACTCTCAGCATAATGTAATGGGTTTGAAATATCAGTGTTTGATATTATCACTAAATTATCACAATATATAATCCCATTTGCTGACAAAAGAGGATTGTTTCTTTAGGTTGTATTTATGATCTCCATTTTGCAACCATACCATTTCTGGTTGTTTTAATGTAACCTTTGAAAGGCCCACTTACCTTTGTATCTATCCTTTGAAACTGAATGAAAGAAAAGAAGGCTAAATATCTGCCTCCATTTTCAACTTCTGTCAGAATAACCTCTAATACTATTAAAGACTAATGTTGCTTCAAACTGATAAAATTTTGCTTGTTATTTATTGGGAGTTGTGTGTCCAATAGTGTATAACTTCTTTTCTGTTCAATAGTTTTGAGTTGTTTGCTGTATATCTTGATATATTCTATGCTTAGTTAGTATCTGATACTGTTTAGATTCTAGAAGTAGAAAATCAGAATTATATGCTCTGTATTTTAATTGAATATGTGGTACAAAAGAGATTGACAGGACATTAGACATTGCAATATTTAACAGTAATTGCTATCAAAGCCATCAGGCCTGTGTACCCCAGAGCTGGCAGGCTACATGTGTCTAGAGATTTCTGCAAATGTGGACAAAAATAGTAAATTATATAAAACATTATGAGATCATTAAAATTGGTTTGGTAACTTGGTCATATATTCTAGATCATGTTGTAATATCAAAATGTTGGACACTCCTACATGGTGACACTGTCAGGGTTAACCAGAGAAAGAATGTTAATGAGATTATGGAAAAAGAGACACCTTGTCTAAAAGCATAAAAATTTTCAAAAAAGTCATAGGTGAATTGGTTTTCAGATTATTGGTTAAGGCTGGTGTAAGTCTCTTGACAATTCACTGTGGTTGATGAACATATGTGCCTTGTACCTATGAAAGATGAAGTTGTAGAGGTAAGCTAGGACACACATGGATTAGTGTAAATCCTTTGTATGAGACAGTCTTTAATAAATACTCTTTGGTATATCTTCTAAAAATCATGTTTTAAGGCAAATGTTAAAGAAATGTTCATTTTAAATGTAAATAAAAATTCCAAAATATTCACATCTTTATAAACAAGGACAAATTATTGGTTTCTCTTTCTGTTTCTGTGAAGAAAGACAGATGGATGACCTTTCAAAGTAGTCCTTACATAAACTTTGTGAGAATTGCAATTGTGAATTTGATTCATTTTGTGAAGCTTATGGTTGCCTTGAAATGTACACAGTAATAATCACCTCAACATTTGTTTTAATTCTGCCAAGATTATTTATCTTACCTGAAATGACAGACACCTCTGTTGGGATATTATTATGAGTATCATTATAATTTATCAATATAAAGCATATGAACGTAAGATTCTGACTTTAGCGAAAGTTTAACCCATTATAAATAGGCAAATATTGAAATCTCAAAATGGGATGTTGCAAAGGCTTTTGTAAGAACTTTTTCATTTTGGACAAACCATCTCAAGATACAAAGCTAATTGGATGAGGTGTATCTCTGTGTATATATCATGGACAGAAATGTATACCCATGCACACTTAAGAATGTATATATGAGCATATATCTACATCTTGGCATATGTTACTCCAAGTGAAACAGGCATTGTTATTTTATATAGAAGATTATTTCAAATCTTTGTGATAACTAGTTTCATTTGTTGTCACATCAAGATGACAATATCTCTGTGATCAAGGAATTGTCACAATTTCAGCTCACTGTGCAGAGAACAAACCTCACACAAAATTCTACCATGCATAAGGTTAGTTCACTAGAGAGAACTTTCGTTCTTTGACCTTTGTATTTTACAAAAAAATACAATGAACTAATTTTCCCATTCTGTCAGCATTAAAATATGAGAAAGTATATTTCCACAAGCTTTTAGTCTTAAAATTTATGCAGAAAACATTTACCTTAAATAACAATGAGGTAACAGCACATAATGTATATGTCTTGGCTAATTTGTTCTTATATAACTTACAGATTATTTCTGTTGTTAAAATTGTCATTGTTCATTGTTACTTTTTTAGTATACCAAATTCACAAAATTCATCAATAGAAAAATTAAATTCATTTAAATATATAAATATTAGTGATTTCTTTAAATAGTGCATTCTGATGTGGAGCAATAAATGCATGTTCTGAACTATCCTGGAGGAAGTAGCAGATTTTATATACAGTTTGGGAAGTGCAAACAGGAAGCCCAATGATGAATACCAGAAGTCCTTTCCCTCTTTGTTCTTACTGTGTTGTTTTTCCTCAAACCTTGTCAAATAATCAAAGGAAGCTATTGAAGCTCTTCTGGTCATTTTTTAGTGCTTTCTGGTATGAAATAGATGACTTTTGTTGCCAAAGGTGAAAGATCAAATCTACAAAGGCTTTCTTCAGAGTTGTTTCCTTTGTAGCAAAACCAGCTACATGTAATGCTCGGGATTGCTTTGAAACTAGGAAACAAGACTCAGAGTTAGGACATAAATGTTCAGGAAGAATCAAAAGTAACGACTGGTACATTTTCTTTTTCATGTCATCTTAGGTGTCATCTACTGTATGTGTTAATTACAGTTAAACTTTAGTTTGGAGATGCTTTGTGAGCTCTTGGCACTTGTGCTGTGAATGTCTGAAGCAGGAGTGACTTTGTTCAGCTTGTCACTAAACCCCCACATCACAGTAGCAGGCATAACTGTCCATGCCAGTAACAAAGTGATAAAAGGGCACATGCTACTTAATATGAATTTATTGAAAGTCATTTTTTTAGGAGGGTGTGTTGGTGCATGCCTGTAATCCCAGCACTCAGGGAGGCAGAGGCAGGTGGATCTCTGTGATTTCGAGGCCAGCCTGCTCTACAAAGTGAGTCTAGGATAGCCGAGGCTACAGAGAGAAACTCTGTCTCAAAACCTAAAACCAAAACCAAAACAAAAAGTCATTTTATAAAGTATATCTGCAAGTATGAGTGAGAGATGAAACAATGTTTTTACATAAAACTTACAATTACACTAAACTGCCATGGATTACATCTGCGCAGGGGTTCTAGGTTATCTCCATGCCTGGTACTTGGTTGGAGTATGGGTCTCTGGGAAGACCCCTGTGTTCAAATCTTCTAGTTCTGTTGCTCTCCTTGTGGGGTTCCTGTCCTCTCCATAACCTACTATTTCCCACTTCTTACATAAGAGGGACTGCCTCTGACACAATCTGATAGGCCTGCTCTTTGATCACCTCCCCCTGAGGGGAGAGCAGTCTTACCAGGCCACAGAAGATGACAATGCAGCCACTCTGGATGTGATCTGATAGACTAAGATCAGAAGGAAGGAGAGGAGGACCTCCTCTATCAGTGGACTTGGGGAGGGGCATGCATGAAGAAGAGGGAGGAAGGGTGGGATCGGGAGGGGAGGAGGGAGGGGTTTATGGGGGGGATACAAAGTGAATAAAGTGTAAAAATAATTGGATTAAAAAATAACTTACAATGACTATAAATTATTTTCTTTTAATTTCAAGTACTC